GTTGCGATGAAAACGCAAACATACACATGAATAATTCCCAGTTCTTAAGGCTGCATTCGATCAAATAGGGAAATTTCAAATGAAAAAATTCAGAGAAAAAGAGTTTTTGTTTCCTTTAATCACGGAATTATGATCAACAAGTTCTGTCATACAAGGACTTTGGTAGCAATTTCATTTCAACGTTTCTCAAATCATGAGCCAAAGTGTCCCAGGTTTGTACCTGATAATGTTTCTTTTTGAACAATTAAGAGCTAGGGCCATTACCAGTTTTTCTACGTGCTTTCCTTTGGTGAAGACAAAGTGCGATGGGTAGTTATTTATTTATCAAGACATCTCTTAACGACCATGTCGTCTTAATAATCTATTAAGTTGTCCCCAAGAACTAATCAATGTTCTTGGTGGATTCGGAATATAGTATGGGAAGCGTTTTGTGACATATACAAATGAGTGAATTACTGTTTCTACCAGACTGAATTCAAATGTCGAATTACATGCCATAAAATTATATTAGTGAACGAGGCCATGAGAAAGCAAAAAAAACAACAACAACAACAACAATAATAAATAGTATTGTAGGCAGAGTTGCGTGCTGTTGAAAAGTATGCTCGATGATATGCCTTAAGCGTATTTGATGTTCAACTAAACCCGATATCTAGACTTGGCTAGAGCTATTCCTGAAGAACTGCAACATAGAGATAAAGATGTAAATAAAGCTATAACTAGATTTTCTTCCATCCTTTAACTCTTGACACTAATACTTAACTAAAAATCTATATAATTGGCATGGATGTAAAAAGCACCAAGGCGAAGACAATTGATGAAAACCTTAACTTGGCAGCTACTATTTCGGACCTAAGAGGAATAAATTTTGTCAGTTGTTGAAAATTAAAAAAAAGATAAAACCCTTTGACGACTTGACGGATCTTTCTTACCTAAATAGCATGTGAGGTTCGTTTAAGCAGTGATCACACAGCCTTAAGTCGAATACAAACTACGGTTGTCGGAAAACTTCTACGGAAAATTGCGCAACTGTCACTAGTTATACAGATCCCTATATGTCTTGAAGGCGTCGGCAAAGTAAATACACAACCTTTAATCTTTGTTATCTTCCTGTTCATTGCAGTAATAATTATAGTTTTTTTGTTCGAGTAATGGCATATACCTTTTAAAACAAATACAGCTGCTGGTATCGCAAAAGCGAAAGAAACTCGAGAACCATTCCCTCGGCATATCCGGGAAAGAAAAATAAATTAAATAATCTCGCTTTTCCACTTCGCTAATTGGACCTGCAATACAAAATTCCTCCGACGTAGGAAAAAGCATTTTTACAGCTAAAAGCTACTGGAGAGAACATAATGTTCAGATATGGACACTGCATTCAATGGACTTTTGCTAACGTTCCTCGACGTTCCTTTCCAGTTATTTGTTTAAATAAGGTTTATCTCTCCACTCGGGTAAGCTCAGGGCTTGAGTAGGAATACATCTATTTCGAAATTTCAATCACTAACTTGAATAAATATGGCAAAATTGAACCCTTATGGGCTCCAAAATTGTTACCATGTATTCTAATTTTGCATTTTATCTGACGACATCCACTAATTTATATATTTTATTTCGTTTCATATACTTTATCTGGGAATTTTCGGCAATTTTTCGTAATTCTATAAAGTTATGTTACGGTTTTTGGAGTGAGTGCTCTCTTCAGTTCTTTTCAAGTTTTCTAACGAATAAATTATTTCTATATTGTAGTTTTAAACTTTGTACTCGTAAAATACCGCAGAAAGTGGTGTACAGAAATATACAAAGGGGATTTAAAAATTAAAAAAAAGTTTAAAATTACTAAAACCTGAAAGATTTGTTGAAAAGTTCATTGTTGAACAATAATTTTTGCAGAACAGGTCAGAAACTGACTTAAAATTGCAGGGAAGAAAGGTGATATGAAAGGGAGATGACATATTTTAAATATATATTCACCTTTGAATGTAATTTTATGCCAAAAAATACTTCAGTGTAAAGTAAATTTGAAAAGCTTACGTCGCTTTTGAAATAGATGGAAGAACAGATTCAATATTTGATATCTGTCGAAGAGGTCTGCCAAGAACCGTTGAATCTCAAATATTTCCCAGTATACTATGGTTCTTAAAACTGTCAATTTATGGCATAAACCCTGGTTATCCCTTTCTTAACAAGAAATTTATTTTGCGTCAGAATATCTATTATGCAATCATTAAATCGCCTTGTGGCATAATTATTTTGCGGGAGTTTTGACTCCATCGAGTGTCTTTGCGAGAGCAATTTTCTTGCGGTACTAAAATTCTCCAGTGAAGTAATTTTTGAGATTTTTCTGCTCAAGCAGCGAAACATCAACCAGGAATTAAACGACGAGTGATGGGGGGGGGGGGGGGAGGGGGGGTATAACAAGATAATTTTTTTATCAACTGAATGGATGTGAATTGCCACCGTAAAGAATTTCAATGCTGAGGTTTCGGGCGTTTGACGTTTCGTTTCGCTCTGACGAATGGTTAACGCTCGAAACTTCAGCTTTGAAACTCTTCACGGTGGCCAATTTACAATATTAATTTAGTTGATAAAACCAAATTATGTTGGAATTAAACGAACAGTTTTCATATTTTTTTTACTTGAGTTAAGACAACCTCTAGTTATGGGTTGAAATTTTTAAAGTTTTAAAACTTTGAAAGATAATACTTACATCTTTTATTATGTTTTTGATTCAGCGTTGAATCATAAACATAATAAACAGAAAGCTTACCCATACCCTCCCTCACTCCGCTGGGATTTTCAACGAAAGTGAGCAGTAAAATTCTGCGGCGTCGACTTTAGTGAATTTTTATCTTTTTGAAAGATCAAAAATCAGCAAAATCTGTAGCAAAATAGAACTTGCAAAGTTTTCGTGTTACATGATCTGCACTCTGTTCAGGCGAATCAATTTCACTACATGACTGAAATTCAGTTTCACATTTGAATCTAGATTGATTAGCTTCCCTAGTTTTGAAATTGATCGCGTCAATATGCCGGAACCCATTATCAGAGTACGAAGGTTAAAGTTGAAGATTAATTTTCATGCGTCAGCAACTTGTTTAAAAGACCTTCCAAGAGGTCATCTTTAGAGACTTCAACCGACCAATAATAAGGTATAAAGGGGGTAAGTTTGCGTCGATGGGAGAGAATAATGAAGTAATTTCGAATCATCAACTGAGTCATTCGCTCTGACGAAGGGCAAACGCTCGAAACGTCAGCTTTAAAACTCTTCACGGTGGCCAATTTACGTTATCAACTCAGTTGATAATGCTTAATTACCCAACAATAAGGTAGTTACTACCTTTCATCCAAGCTAGAGAAACACTTTTTGCGCAGATAAATTGCTTAGTTTAAGAAGAGTGAATTGAAACTACGAACAGAATTACAAAATATCTTGCTGTGCGGCAAGAAAAATATACCGAGAGAACCAAATCAAATCTATTTTTCCTTCTCTCTCTCTTCTTTTCTAAAGTTGCACGAACGCAAACCTCTTCATATACCCACGTGGAGTCTGAAAAATGACGATATGTTAGACTTGCACTGAAAATTCGCTAAAGTAATAAAAAATATTTCCTGAAAATGAACGAGATACAAGGGAAGTACTACGCTATAACAAGTGGTTCTGAGAGAAGTTACATGAAATTTTTGATGCCATTTCCGCAATTCCGAATGGAAATAAAATAAAAAGAATAGCGTTTGCAGTTTTCGTTAATAAAGAAAATTTACTTAAATTTCCAAAATACCTTAAGCAGCATATGGAAAAAATGCTCTGACTTAGAAAAAGCCAGCATAACCCATAACAATTGTCAAATATGCAGTTGAATCATGTTTCGTTGTCTTCATATTTGACGTCTTATCCTCAAATTGAATTTCTTTTGTTAAGCGGGGCTCTTTGAGAACTGGAGAAGGCATTTAATTATTGCTTAACGTTTTGCTATTGATGTAGATGTTTGGTACCAACGTGGTCAAAGAGTAAAGAGTGATAGCAATATGTAGCCTACCTAAGGATATCATTGAATAGTTTATGAAACCATTAAATGAGGAAAAACGAGAACGTAAATGAATGAATTAAAAAAATTCTCAGGTGAAATTTTAAATTTTTCTAAAAATAGAAAATAAAGGGGTTTTTCTCTTTCAACTGATTATGATTAAGAATAGTGAAGATCCACTACTGAGTGCATTATCAAGAACTTGCTTCAAAGTTGTGAAGCGACCGTTATATTGAAGTGTAAATACTTTTTCGGCTAGTAACCTATCTGAGGTGAAATTAAAAAATTAGTGAATAAATTACTGTTGTAGGAAATCTCTTTACTGTCGGTTCGATGGCAATTGAAATCTCTTACATCGTAAAAACGTCCGATGAAGAAAAACCCGTCTTCTGTTGAGTTTCTTTTCTTTCGTTTTCACGGCTTATTGCATGTTTTGACAATCTATCAATGTCTTAAATCATAAGAACAAATAACTGTAATTAAAAATTCCTAACCTGATCAGGAAATTTCACCTGACAATGTTACCTTTGGCTGAATTTTCACATAATTTGCGCTCAGATTGATAAAAAAAGATCCAGTCATTTCGAATCGACTGAACGACGGGACAACAAATTGAGAACATTTCCTCATTTTAAATCCAAGAAATAATTTCAATTTTGGGTTATTGCAGCGCCATTAAACAAATTTTCCCTTTTAAACGTTAAGGAAACGAAGCTGAGGTTTAAATACAGATATATAAACGTAAATAATGAGCGATAACAAAGATTTGAGGTATAACTGTATTCTACAACCAAGATTCAAATAATACTGAAATTCGACGAGCACATCGCGCTAACACTCAACACGGCTACAGCTCTTGTGAATTAATCAGGTAAAGTAAGCGGGTTTTGACGGTTGAATCCTATTAGACACCCGACATATAAAGAGTGTACTTATATTTATATATGTACTTCTGTTCCTTGTATTACTTACCTCTTGGCAAACTACTCTCAGTTTCTTTGCAGATGATATCAACTGTGCTGCTTTGTTATTTCCCCACAAATAATTACTTTTGTAGACGGCGATAGGTTATGCTTTTTTAACTCTGTGAAATTTCATTTAATATACGTTAGCCTTGATAAGTAGTCGAACTATTAAGCTAGCGAAAGGCGCAGTATCAATCTTTAATACGCTTTCTATCCGTTTACGATCTCATATTTCATTTAATGGCGAGTGCTTCTTTTCCACCAATCAGCTCAACTGTAGTTATGTTAATTCCAAGCGTTTTTTTCAGAAAAAGACAAAAGAGAGCAAATACTTAAATGATCCTGGCGTCTTAGTGCGTTCACAACCTGCCACATCTTTAAGTATCTCCCAAGAGCTAAACAGAAGTGAGGGAAAGAATAACAAATATTTCATGTGATCCATTTTTAATGTTATTCTATCTTACTTGATCATTTTCAACGTTTCGATAAAAGCAATTGAATTTGTTTTTTGTTACTCTATAAATGTTAAAAAATATCAAGAGATTTGTTTTCTTACCAGAATAAAATATCCCATTTCCGAAAAAAAAGTCGTTTCAATATATCACAGGATTATCTCGCGCAATTCAGTGGCATCTTAACCTGTCTCAGAAAGCACTTAGCATGGGCACTTTTATGAACATTAACGAGGAAATTTTCCACGCCTTTTTTTTATTCGCTGCAAATGTTAATGGACAAGAGAAGACACTATTGCCTTTGAATATAAACATTGAAAAAAAATGAAGACAGCGTTGCATTAGAATTTTCTAGAAATGTTTTAATCCATGGAAAAGGAGACTCATTTCATAATTGTCACGAACAGAAAATTTTTCCTTGCAGTTGTTTTCAAGCGTTACTTGAAAAAAGCATCAAAAAAGCTGTTATTTCACATGGCAAATGTTTGTGAACCCGTTGCGTTATGCACACCTCAGTTTGTAGTGAACAAAAAGTACTTTCAGTACAAATGTAACAAGAGAGATGACCTTACACTGCGTCAGTAAACATGTATTTTTGTTCTCACACCTTGTACCGTTCCTCACAGAGGTTTTCATTCGCCTCGCTTCAGCAATCAAGAATCACTCCCAGCAGCACTTACTCAAACTCCCTGAAGCTGCTATAAAAGCATCTTTAATTTCGCAATTAGATGAAGAGTTAGAAGCTCCAGGAGAGCTCCATTCATAAACCTTTGTTCACTTAAACAAAGCTGAATTTGAATCAAATGATGCGCTGATGTCTTTACACTGACGGTAAAGGAAAACAGTTTACGAGTGTGACGTTCAGATATACTCATGCTTGGTTCATTGTGCGTCATAACATCTCGCTTGCGAGTCGCACTTCATCCATTCATAAACCATTCCTTTTATGACCCAACTTAGCTTTAGTAAAGTTAAAAGTAGGAAGTAAAGACTACTAAATGCTCCCTTTTTTCAGCCAAGGTCATATTACACCCACTTGAAAGGGTGGTAATTGCAAGCTTCAATCACTTCAAAGCCGCTCTATTTATGCAGATACTCGCTTCCTGGATTCATATTTTTGCTATATTTAGTGTTCTTTTGATTCATTTTTATTTACGTAGTCCTTTTCTTTCGGTTATTTATTTGAAGCCGAAGTTTCTGGCAATCAAAAGGCGTGATTTCTTTCGAAAAGTGACAAGCGTCTGACGTTTGCACAAAAATAACTTACTAGTTTCAAAAAAATCCCCTGCCCACGGTTGGACACTTCAACCGAGGGCAGGGTAAAGTGTGTTTATCCTGCGGCGCTTGTAAGCGTAGGTTCAAAACTTAGAATAATTGCAGGTTAACGCACTCAGCGAGTGAATTATCGGGATTTACCTGCACGAGTTCACGAACAATAAATGAGGCTTTACTGAATGCGGTATTGAAAATTTCGAGTTCATTATTTGTGAATGAGTACAGGTAAATCCCAATAACTCACGAGCAATGAGTGCGTAAACATTTTTATTATCCAAATTCAATACCCTGCACAAACAAACACTGTACTGAAACCTGTTGACAACGCGCAAATACACCTCAACTAGCTTGAATGAAAAATTTAAAATTAAAATAACCTTACCTTTCAAAACAGATATTTCCCAAGCAGTTGCCCTCTTGGCGTTTTTAGGAATTGCATCATCAATAAGGGAATCAATGTCTGCATCTGACAAATCGTAAAACTTTGAGTCAGCCGAAGCCATGATGTAATGACAGTGGTGTGATGAATTTACACCACGGCTATTACACCACGAGAATGACGTCAAGGACGTTGTTTCGTCACAACCCAGTATAACATAGTACAAATCAGGCGATCAAAAATCGGAAATCGTACTTAGAAGTGAATGAAAGGACAGATTGGTATGAGAAGACCCCATTGCCAAGAAAGTAGGAAGCCAAAAGGAATAACTAAGTGAAAATGAAGACGACAAAGAGTTATGAAAAACTGAAGACGCAATTTTAATCAGTATTAGGAAGGAAAGAAAACATTTATTTACAAATGAATACAGTTTTACGTAAACAATCTTACTTATGTACTTAAGTTAACAAATAGCGGAATTAGAGCTACACAACCCACGATTGGCGCACCCATTTTTAACCACAAAATTGATGCTCTTGAAGCAGAAAGAAGAAATAAAAAAAATTAAATTTGGTTTACGCATTACTAAAATTCTTCAGGCTGCACTTGACGTTACTCAATACCCATTCAAAGTTGGATCTGAATAACTTATTGCCCTACTTCACGGTGAGCAATAGGCTGGTGCTTTAGAAAACCTCTTCCTTGACAGCTCACACAAAACCTCATCAGATCTGAAGAGTGTCGTACACCTATTTCACGGAGACCTTTGTTCCCGACTGGTTGCCTCGCTTGAGATTGTGGTTGTGTATTCTTAAAGCAACCATATCACCGAAAATGTAAACTATTCTGGTAACTTGTCTGAATCAATCCCACCTTGGTAAAAAGTTAGCTTCATAGGGGTGGCTTCTATTGTAAATTGCTCTCATTCGGATACCAAATAGGGAACAACTCGTGAAAACTCACACCTTGAGATTCACTAAAGGTTAAGATCCGATCTTTTCACAGTGCGTGCATGTAATGTTTATCTTAAAACTTGCTTCACAAAGGTATCAGCCAGTTTAAAGAACTTCTGTTCAGGTGCTTCGGTGAAAGCCAGAGCCTTAGTCGGTGTCCTCCTTGCTGCGCTGCTGGGACTGGTCTGAGTGCCCGCTGGTGATGGTGGAAGACCACGTCTGGCAAAGTGGCGGAAGAGACCTCCAAGAAAATTACCCTACAAACAACAATCAATGTAAAAAGGTCAGACGGTTAAAACTGTTTATTGACCCTCTGAGACGACTGGCCAGGAAACTGTTTAGTGTAGGGGCTGTCGGGAAATTTCTCCCCTGGCACTCTTCACGCGACAAGGTCAGAAAATTAAAACCTTTTTCTGAACCTGTGAGAAGAATGGACTGGAACCTGTTTAGTGTAAGGGCTGTCGAGCTTTTTTTCCCTGGAATGATATGAGGATGTAGAGGTGAGGGATGAAAATAGTACTAGATTTAGTGTTGAATCGAAAAAATGGTAAACAGAAAAGCGGAAACGCAAAGCACAATATTGTCAAGGGCTCTGCTCAAAGTAGAAACCAACACTCTAAGTTCAAATCACTCTGCCCCAGATCTTTCAAAAGGGGTGAACCAGTATCGCCTCACAAACCATTTTTTAACGGCGCTAGAAACAACGACGAACCAAATTTATTCATTTTATTTATTTGCAATATTTCGATAGGGTAACTCAGTTCAGCTTTAAAGCTTGAATTGGGGCCTGGATAAACGGTAACAAGGCCAGACCACAACACCGTGAGCAACGCTCCCTACTCTGCAAGAAATGAGCGGGTTTTTTAACGTTCCCCAACCAACCAACCCAGATATAAGGCAGGAGACAGCGGCCTACAGTATCTCGTCCTAATCCTAAATTATTGGAACGTCTGATCATTTGCAGATGTCATAGTAAAGGCAGCACAACTTACCAGTTCACTACCAAGCTCTCTCTTTAGAAATTGCTTGACCCGCAGGTCCAGTCCGGGATCCCGCAAGTATCGACAAGCCTGAGATAGAGCGATGATCAACGCATTCTCCATAGTGAACATCAGAAGAGATCTACAAACAAAGATAGTTCCAGAAGATTCGAGTTGGAAGCAACGAAGAATTTTACTTTCTTAAATACAATTGCAGGTAAAATAGATACACAAACTTCGATATTGTACCTTGCCACACTGTGCAAGTAGCATGTTTCGTAAAAACCAATCAAAACGCGTGTAAAATTCAGCTTATCATATAAACTCCCATAAACAATAGATATTGACCAATTAGCGCGCAAGAACATGACAACATGAAAGGAAATAACAGATGGAGAGCCACTCGTAACTTCCTGAAATAAAAGGCAAGTCTCCTCAGACAAAGAGCTACTGCAAGCAACCATAAATTATTCAGCAAACTGTACGTCTCACCTCGGTAATGACTCCGACAGAGTTCGGACTGGTGATTTCACAGGTGACTTCAGGTCAGCCTTCCAAGGCAAAAAAAAGTTCAAAAGTCAGAGTGATAGAGGTATATCTGAGAAGTGTACGACATATAACTGTGAAAAATTACAACAGCGAAAAAGGTTATGCGTCGCACCAGAGATAAATAACTACACAACTGATGTAAATGAGTATAAAATTTATATTTGCATTCATTGCACGGTAAGTAAACATACATTTCACGACAGAAAAAAAATGTACCTAAACAGTGCCAGAAACGTATGGTTTTGCAAAAAACATAGAAAACTCACTGGGCCAAGATTGGAGAGGGCCATATTGAGGCAGGCCAAGAGAGTACCAAACGACAACGGCTCTTCAGTGTCCACAGTCGGGGAACTGAACCCGAGAGAAAGCAGCGGGGGGAATTCCTCAAGATCCATACCCTAAAAAATAGCACAAATATAAGTGGTTAAATACTTTGTCGAACTTTCAAGCTTATGAACAATTTGAACAACCCACATCGCTTTCCTACCTGATCTATGAGAATACCACAAATGTCCGGAGTAAATTGCCGCAGCATCGCCAGTGAGTTGCAGAGAATCTTCAACAACCTGATGATTATGAAAAAAACAACTATTCAGTAATCAAATTTTTAGTCGACATTTAATGTCCAAATGGGGTAATGCAGCCATGGTAGGTTATTTACTTCATACAGTATCATATAATCATAGTGCTAAATTCTGTATGCAACATTGAGGGAATAAGAATGCAGTTTCTTTTTTTCGCGATGCAAATAACAACAACGAAAAAAATTTCATAAATAAGCTTAAGATTTAAGACATATTTCCAAAACCTTCAACCACCTTAAAAGTGTTGTCACAAAAGAATAAGTCGTCTCAGTACAAAGCATGCATTGATCAGACCCTTTCTTCGTGCATTATCCGCAATCTTCAGCCCTAACTTTTGTTAAAGCATCTACATTATCTAAACTCAAAGCATGCTTACTGTGACTGAGTTTGAGAGACAAGAGGGCTGTTTCTAAAAGAGTCATCATCTGCGTATGAGTATGTTCTGAGCATTTCTCTGGAGAAGGTTTGGCTCAGCGAGAGCTGCACATCTGGTGTCGAGGCTTTCCCGTGTGCACTTGAGCTTGCACGCCCTTTGGACACCTAATGTAAGCAAACGTCGACAATTTTCAAATTCCATATATGATACGTTTAAAATATATTGCAGCACATTGTGCTAAGTTCGTCGCCCTTTAGTTGCCAGTGTCAGGAGGAGATTCCACTACAGAAAGTCTATCGTTACTCAAAGCCATGTAAAATTAACCACCTTTCGTTTAAATTCACCAAATTAGCATTCGCGTGCAGCAGAGGGAATAATATATTAATTATGATAAACCGGCTTAAGATTTTAAGCAAAGGAAGACATTTTTCGTTTACCTCAAGTAAATGAGCAAGCAATCTTGGGTGAGTCAGCAGAGCTATGCAACTTTGGCAAAGAACACCAATACGGCTCTGAAAGGAAAATTATCATTTCGCTAAAACAGAAGTTGATGGTAACAAACCTCTCTCTTACGGACTTCAAGACTATCAGATATCAATTCAAACGGTCAGGACCCACACTCCTAGTTACAGACTTCAATTTAGTGATTCTACTGATTCCGTCGCTTCAAGCCCTGCATAAAACCATTAATGTATTGATAGTTACCTGAAGTAGTATTAACACATCTGGCAGAGTGAATCTCCATTCGTGAAAAAAATGAGCAAGTTCCAGTAAGAAAGCAGTCACTTCCTCTGCTTCCGCCAAAACGTCTGAAGACTGAGACCGGCTCACAGAGTTCAGGGCCTGAGAGATACGAGTCAGTGAATAGAAATGACATCAGTTGAGAACTCTCTAGATTTTCCAGGACCCGCGCGAACCCTGGAAATACTTGTGGAAAAAAGATAATTAGTTGGAAAAAAGTTTACGAAGGGATTACGTCAAGGAAAAGGGCAAACATAGCCATAGTTGATCCAAAATAAGTTTGCTGATGGCCGTCTCCCAGGTGTCTTTGATGACCATGTCAAGGAATGCAAATCATTTTGAATAAATTTGTATTAGGCCACGGTTAATGAGGCCAGTTGCCATCTTATACCCGACGAATTAATAAAGCGACAAGATCAGTTACCAGTTTCTTTCGAGCATTTCATTAGGATAACTCCGTTTCAAATACGCTCTTTGTAATATGTGTTGAATATAAATAAAACAATAATTGAAAAAGTGCGTGAATAGGAATAGAAGGCCAGTTGAAAGCCATTCCGAATAAAGTCTATGAGAATGTGACATTTAATGGCAAGAAAATGAGTAGCGACGCAATTCTTCCTCATGGTCTAAATAGCTCCTATGTCTACCGAGCAAATGTAAGTGAAACGTGAGATATTCCCTGGTATATTACTGGCACACATTGGATAACTTGTACACATTGTAATAATTTAGTGCAGATTGTCCTGGCTCTCTATCCTTTCCACCCCCAGTACTTATCATCTACCTTGTCTAAGTTCACCTCAGTCAGTTGCTGTCCTTCAACTTACAGAAAACACTGTGCTTCATAATGAAAGGACACAAGTTTTGTAACCCTTGTTCGACAATGGAGAGCTTCTTCAGTTAGAGATCATTTCCTTTATTCTCATAACCTTCATATGCGATTCAAAGGTGATATTGTACAGAGAAATTAGAGGCTAGTCACTTAGGGGTCAAAGGATGAAATCTCTACAGTTATATCAAATCAGCTTTCTTGAAACAAAAACCAGACATAGCCCAACTAACAACATGTACATAAAATCGAAATACGTTTTTGTTGACCTCTGCGAGTCTTTCTCTGTGTACTCCTGCAAAGTCTAGAGCATCTTTGAGAAAACCATGTCTGAGTGTGCGCAGCATGGACGCCATCACAGCGAGGGAAAGCTTCCACACTTTATCCCAGCTTCGTTGGCTACTTTTGTCCGAGTTGTGAGAGGATATCTGAGACTGGGGACCAGATTTGGGCCGAGAAGTCTGCGAGAGAGAAAGTAACGATGAAGTGAGGTCTTCAAGTGCGTCGTGGTAATATAAGAACGCCGATTTCAAATTCTAGTATACACAAAGTAAAGCCGGGAATATGTGAACAAATGTCTAAGAGTGAGGTTTTGGATGGGAGCGCGAACGGATTTTCAATTTCATGTTAGATATACCACGCAATTCAAATGGCACTGAAAAACAAACAAACAACAGGAGCAGGGTTTGAAAGACTGTTTCAAGTGTAAACCCGTTGTTCGATTGAAATGAAAATCATGTCCAGTCTTGAATCCGTCACAGGTAGACGATGACTACCAGTCACAAGGGACTGTAATTATAACCTTCCCTTTCTCTGTCAGTCTACTTGATATTCGTGGCTAACATGGATATATAGAAGAAGAGTCACGTCTGTGTAATACGCGTTCAAAGAGAGGAGTAAAAAGAGCTGGAAGGAAGAAATAATTACCTGTGGTGTGCCTTCAGAGTAAGTCAGCGATGCCAATCCTAGGCAAAGTGGTTGGGATATACTGTTCATGGCCAGGGCCTCAGCACTCTGAAAAATTAGCAAGAAGTAAGAACGAAAGGTTATAATGGCTCACACTACGAGAGATCGGGCAATTTCACAATTGCGTTTACAAATCAAGAATTTGAAACAACATACAAAACATGTGATCAAAAAATGCAGTGACGCAAATGTGTTGAGATAACACAGACACATTTCATACCATTGGTATTCTTGACAGCGACAGGAACAAGTGAAGAATGGCTTCGGTGAATTCCACTTTCTCGTGCGTCTGAACAAGAAAAAATATTAGCCGTAATGTTGATGTGATTACATTAAGTTCATCGTGAACACTGTAAACATATCATGCAAAAGTTATGCTGATTGGTTTCAAAGGTTTCACAATACCTTAATACACACATCCAGGGCCTGAACAAGAGACGCAAACAGCGCATGCTCTCTCAACACAGGAAGCCACTGACCAGGGTTGGCGAGCAGTATGTTCAGAATTTCATCGATGATGAACACAGACAGTTCAAGAACCTACAATACATAACGCGAAAAATGCTATATATTACTCAAACAGAATAAAATAAAATTGAAGTTTTACTTTTTCAAACGGATGACTTTGGTAAGCAGTTTGAGAGGACTTATCAAAAGAGTGGAAACATACGTCCAGGCATGCCAAAAAGTTTAATATGTCAGCATACCCTGTCTTGTTGCTTCTGTTCGCTCGAGAATCTTCCTCTTAAGTATTCCAGTGGTTCACAAGCCAGCGGTAAAAGAACCAACGCATGACTGCTCAGTAACGTGTCTAAATACAACAGGCAAATTAATACGGTCATTTGAACTGAGTAACCATGGCCTCTACTGTGCCCAATTGTGGTACATGGGTAATGCAGCTGTAAGCCGACACATGACCTTAAAATTTACAACGAATGGAAAATTGTGAGCAAGCACTAACAACAGTTACACATCAATACGAGCCAATCGTTACGGTGAAAGTTTTTAACTAATTAGAAAGCAGTAGACTGCAAAAATTAAAGAAAATGAGCTCCTCAAGGTTACGAGAGCCCACACTAAGGTGATTACCAATAGTCTTTTCTCGGAAGGTCTCTACTCAGGAGAGAAAAGAATACAGCTTCTCAGGAAAAGAAGCCTTCCCAATATCCAAACAGTAAAAAAAAAAAAATGCTTAAACTTTACAGCGTCCGCGAGACACGATTGCTCATGCGATTCACAGGGCACAAGGGACAAAAGGGGGGGGGGGGGGGGGAGAAACACTCACCGGATAAGTTTTCAGTCCTGGCGTACTGAAGCAGAACTGAGAAGGACGAGAACATGGCCACACGGATATGGACAAATAACTGTGTGTCATTCTTGTGCGCAGTGTCAATGACATCCACCAAGCACTGGAACACTGGATTGGGATCCCGAAGACAGCTGTGAGACAAAGTATTTCAGAAATTGACAGACGACTCTACTTACACAGATGTTTCAAATTTTCATCACATTAATCCTTCCAAGGAGAAACTTGCATGCTCACAAGTTAAAATGCAACCAATGACGTTATTATGAATTCTCTCAGAGGAGAGGGAGGACCAAATCCCAAGTGGACAATAAGACAGAAGCAACAGTTTTTGGTTCAAGTTCCCTCTAGAACTCTGTTCAAGCTCTAAAAACCGAAACAACAGGATTGCTTGTAGGCGAAAAGGTAAGGCTTATGTGAAAAAAGCCCTTACAACATTCCATAGCATAAACAAATCTATAAGAAAGGATTACCTCTTCCACCTCTTGAGCAGCATCAGATAAAGACTACTCAGTTCAACAGACGCATTTATACTCTCTACGGCTACAACTCTGGAAACCTGCAAGAAAGAGAGTCGAATGTTAGTATGCAGCGTAGATACTCAAAGGAAAACCACGATTCGAGTGGGATTTAACACACAGCAACCTCTAACCAGCTCGTAAACCACATGACTATACATATTGTGCCGAGGAAACGCGTAATTTTGACTCGTTACTAAATGAGCCGTTCCCCTTTCCACGTTAGCTATTTCTAGAATGCAAACTTTTCTAGCCCTTGCATCTAAGATTTTAAATATTTGGAGACAGGTAACAGTGTTTCTAGATTTGCTGTTTAACAGGCCAAAACATCTCACAATACCACCCACAGCAATGCATTGTCGAGATATATTTGCATTTGAACTCTGCCAACTGATAGCGATATGGTACTTTTAGACACAAAACCTGGGACTTGAGCGCCTGAAGAGTATCCTCCAAGATTAATCTTCTTCGACGAGTATCGTTTAGACCAAATATCTCATTCTGAAAAGGCATATGACAAAGTTAACAAAACAAAATGTGATACCTGTGTTCCGATTCCAGAAGAGAAAAATACTTCAGCCAGTTTTCAGCCAATTTTTTTTGAAATTATCTATTTCAAATAAGTGAGCACCTTTATACCGTTATGAGAAAATAAGTCACTGAAAGCAGTTCTGGCGATAACAAAGCCACAAGCACGTCCTCAAACAAACCAAAGAAATCCAGGATACGTTTTGTGAATTAATGTAGCAGTTCTTTGGTATAATTTTTTTGTCACTCTATAAATCTTACATAAGCCAATCTTTCTCGGTCAAGATAGTTGGATCTTGTTTCTACTATGTTTAACCGACAACTATCACGGAGTCGGGGGCCATAAAACCCCAATATCCAACCTTCTTGACCTCACGCTTAGTCGGTGGCGTAAATGTCTAATGAACCCTCACTCAGGTCAACTTAGAACAAACAAGATTCCGCCCTAACAACAAATTGTAAGCCTTATGAACAGAGACACCTGTTTATTAGCTCAGGCAGCCATAACAAAAATTTATAAGGTAGAATTAACTCAAGAACGTTTCTAGTACCTGAAAAGAAGAACAAACAACTAAATATGTTCTCCAGGCTTTGAGCAGTTTGAGTTTTTCTTCCTCAAACTGTTTTTCTTGATCATCGTCCATAGATTGATCCAAAGACTTGAGGAACTGCAACAGAAAATTCAAGTATGACACCATGATTAGTTCGTAGACTCAAAAGCTGGTGTAGAATTATGCACTGTCGACTTGGAGAAATTCAAGATGATATTTTGGAATATTCTGCCGAGAGTTTCCTCTTTACTATAATTTTCTTCTAATCATAAATTCTTGAATTCCCCGACCTTACGCTTTTCTTGCATACAATTGTTTGCTTAAAACCAAAAATGGCCTCCGAAGGTTAAAAAAGACCACCCGGCAATTGCTAGCAATTACCATGCTGAAGTTATCACTCCTTTTTCGTTCGAGTAATTCTATCATTAGTAAAGACATGTAATAATCTTCTAATCAACAGACTTTTAGAAACGGATTTTACCATAAAAAGTTAACGTTAAAAAGCAACGACCTTTCGACCGCTCTACGATTATTGTCAACTTGAAGGATAAAATTTCTTTATCATGCGCTTATATAATTAATTGTAAAAATGCTAGTGAGATACTGACTTAAACTCTAAAATATTTTCATAGAAACAAACGAATGTTTCTTCCAAGATTTTGAAGAAATGTCAGAGTAAACTGGACTGTTTGATCTTTTAAATGCTTTTTATTCGAGAACTTGAACCAAAACTGAACAAACAGAGTGATTCGATCCGTGCTAAAGTATTTACCAATCCATTCACTTTTAATTTTGTTTCTTTCGCCTCAGCGTTTCTTTTATTATTCTTCCGCAATTTTCTCGTATTGCTTCTATGAAAATATTTTAGAATTTTAGTCAGTATTTCATTAGCATTTTTACAATTGATTATATAAGCGCATGACAAAAAAATTTTATCCTTCAACTTGAAAATGACCGTTGAGCGGTCGAAACGTCGTTGCTTTTTAACGTTAATTTTCATGATAGTCATCGTCCCAATTTATTGCGAACAATAAATCTACTGTTGTTTTACGAAAAGATCTCCTTACAATTAATAATGCATCAATCAAGTTGACTTGAATTGTTAGGAAACATAATTCATTCTGGCTTGGTCTCGATTTGATTACTTCCGCTACCTCATCACCCCAGGCTACAATCGGTCACGCAAACTAAGTGCATGGCAACTAAGCTCCATACCGCTGATCAGAGTGACACGCAAGTTTCTCATAATCTTAAGTAGCGACACGCAGTTTCTATTTTATTTTAGCGTTTTGCTTGACTGTTTCGATTTGTACTACCAAGATCAGAAGTCATGTTCACCGTCGAGAAAAACTGGCAAACAACAAGACCAACCATCAAAGAAAGAACAACGTTCATGCTCAACAATGAACTCTTCAGTGATGTCAAGTTCGTTGTTCGCAAGATGCATGGCGAAAGTGAAAGTAAACAACTGATTCCAGCTCACAAGTTTGTGCTCTCGATTGGCAGCCCTGTCTTTGAAGCCATGTTTTATGGTGAGCTGGCCGAGACTGAAGACTCAATTGAAATGCCTGACGCCGATTACGAGAGTCTGATGGAGTTTTTTCGTTTCATGTACAGCGATGAAGTGAATTTGAGCGGAAGTAATGTTATGGGAGTGTTGTATTTGGCGAAGAAATACATAGTCCCATCACTCGTTGACAAATGCTCGGAGTATTTGCTAGATAACTTGGAGCCATCGAATGTTTTCAGCATCCTGCCATCTGCTGAGAAATACGAAGAGAAAAACCTAGTGGATCGATGCTGGAAAGTGATTGATAAACAGACAGAGCTAGCCGTGAAATCTGATGGATTTGGTGAAATCGAGAGGTCACTACTTGAAACAGTTGTCAAAAGAGACACGCTGACAATTGAAGAGATTGAGTTGTTTAAAGCTGTTGACCTGTGGGCTACAAAGGAATGTGAACGACAACGTTTAACCGCTGATGGCTCAGTGAAAAGAAGGATGCTTGGAGAGGAGATAGTCAAAGCCATACGCTTCCCAACGATGAATCACGAAGAATTCGCCAGTGTTGTATTGGATTCTGACCTTCTAAAAGAGGCGGAAATAAAAAATATCATCAAACGCCTAAGTTCAGTTTCGACGTCTTCAACTATTTTTCCTGACACAAAACGATATGGCACCAAGATATCGAGTGTTTTCGAAAAATGTTGCCGGCTGGGTTCCTTGTCGAATTGGTGTGGTTGGGGTTATGGTATTGGCCGTAAGGACTGTATCGATTTCTCGGTCGATAAAGACATAGCTCTACACGGATTGTGCTTCTTTGGTCAGAATGGGCAATCTCATTCGGTAACTTTGAAGCTAGTAGACACAAACACCAAAAAAGCGTTAAAATCTTTGACTGGAACATTTTCCTCAGTGAAGTTAGATTGCGAAGAATACAGCTATGACGGTTTTGAGGTGCCTCTTGAAGCAATTTTGTTGAAAAAGAACACAAGATACGGTATAAGGGCTTTCATAACAGGTCCTAATTCGAAGTTTGGGTTTGATTATAATAGTTCTGTTCAATGTTCGGGAGTAACATTTACATTTTTTAAAAGTGAGGAACCAGGATCTAGAACAGATGCTAGAAATGGGCAATTTCCGATACTGCTGTTTTCTCTTTAGAGCATCGCGTAACTTTGCCGACTACTAACAGCGCAAGCTACTGAACTGATAATGCTTCAGTAAGCACATACATTAGGGAGAAGTAATTTGCTATAAAATCGTTCCAACTGAAAAACAGCTTTTGGCGCAATGTTGGCTGACAACAGTCAGTTTTACGGTGAGCTCAGCTGCAATGACTGTTTCCTTTTACTCTGTGTCCTCCGAAAAAAAAGTGCTTGTGGAACATAGATTTAGCACTCTAATTGCGTTGCATTCTTTAAATTTATCGATTCAGCATTTAAAGGTCTGCTACACTGTTTTAAGTGAAACAGTAGGTCTTGAAATTGAGACTTAAATATGTCTTTCTGCAAAATAAACTGATCTCCCGGTTTCGTCTGTCACAGTTGTTACTGCTCTAATTTCCAATTTCAATTTTACATCAACATGCGAGCAACCGAATGGATGTTCCAGATTGACTGAAAATCCATGTGATCGTTGTACGCATTTGATGACAATCTGTCCGCCATTATGATTGGGATGCCCTTCGTTTTAAACTACTCCTTCATCGAGTCCCATGCTTTTGTGTGACTCCGTCGTAGCGCACGCTTTTCCCACTTAGTTAAAAGCAAATGGAAAGACTGTTATGCAGACTATCAAGTGCCCTACCGTTTTTCAGTCTCGTCAGGTGGAAAAGCACGAATGTCAGACCACAGAACAGCTGCTAAGTAGACTAGTCGTGTATAACGTGTATGGTGAATTTAACGGAAACGCGGTAAATTGGGACTTATCTGCTCCCTTAAAAGGTGTAAATCAAAGTAATTCTCACCTGACCCCAGTACTGATATCTGTTCTCCGAACAGAAAGCTTTCATGGATGTCTTCAGACTGTCGTCAATTTGACCTCTAACAAAGTGATAGTTACAAGGCTGTTAGTCATTATTGAAGCCCTCTACAATAGACTATTTATAGCCTAGAACGCTAAAAAAAAGGGGAAAAAAAAGAGCCTGTAAAGAAGTAAAAACTATTCGAATATCAAAACATAGCTCAAAAGATCCTGATCAGCGATCCTAAATCAAGACAACACCCACTCTCTGACAGTTCATCCTTGAATATGACCAAATGTAATGATAACATTGGGCGAACGTTACATGACACACGGTCTATAAGCTCCTTGATGCAATGGTGTTCAGTTATTGAAGGAGGGAGCTGGAAATTTACAGGAAAGTTAAGTATTTTACGAGGCCAATAAAACCCGCAAACAATGTATTGCGAATAATGGATGAAGACTACACTCACAGTATACACATACAAAATTACCTTGAGACATAGTAAGCTTCTAATGCAATTATCTGCATGGCATAACAACTTATTTCCATGTGATATCTGTAATCCTTTTCAATACAAACAACAAAATGAACGAAAGAAAAAAACAAGCTGGATGGTTGAACAATACTTAAGCAAGGAAAATAAATTAAACACAAAATCAATTGAAAATTTATATTTTATTTCAACCATGATTTTTTTTCTTATCTTTTTGGAAGAAAATAAGAGAAAATGCTACTGCTTCTACAGCCTTTTACTACAATAATAATCTGCAAAGGTAACAAATATCATTTATTTTGTAAGATACTGTACACGTAAGAAATATATTCCCAAACATAGGAAAAACAATTCTTTGTTTTCCACAAGGGCACTGATTAATAAGTCTATTGCCTAAAATATATTTTTGTCAACATTTCTCACTTTAAACAGCTTTTGCCTACAGTCAGTATTTACCTCATCTACATCTGATTCTATTCCTGTTATCAATGGCTGAGTTAACTTCTCCCAAAACTTTGGACTGTTAGAGAGGCAAAGAAGTCTACATTAGGTACAAAAGTATTTGTTTTTATGAGAAGAAAACAATGCATTTCATATCAGCTGATAACAGCCAACATGTCAGAAAGACAAATCAACTCTTCTCCACCGTCTTACTTTATTGCTAATGCGCTGGATCAGATCGGTCCTGGGCAAGAAAATTAACAATCACAATTCCTCTCTCTACCCATGAGTAAAGATGGTTACCGGCAACCTGTCAGCAAAACTTAACGCGGAGATGTTTGGATTCACCAAGACTCGATAACATTACCTTAAGTTTATTCACGGGGGGAGATCCAATTGCTTTTGACAGTGGGGTTTGAAATTAATTCTCGACCAACTCACGCCCTCTCCCTCTCCTTAACACCTTTCCCTCACCCCTCTCCCTCCCCCTCCTAACTTTCCTTCTCCCCTTCTTTCTCCCCCTCTTCATCCCTCTCCCTACCCCTCCATCCTCTTTTCTATTCCCCTCTCCTTTCCCCTTCCACTCACAGTATCACAAAAAGACTAGTTGAATAGAATACGTAATCCCGTCGTTGCAAGAATGTTGGTGTCAGACAAGTAGTAAAAAATCCCACGGGTCGGATGAAAGGGGTGTGGGGATCCCAAGAAACCCCCTCTGGACTCCCTACATTCCCCCCCCCCCTCCCCCACCCTATACTACAGACACCGAAGTGACCTCGAACGGTTACGGATCATTAGGCTTGTATAACCGAACAAATCTCCGAGATATCAACTACATCACAGTTATTGAAGGTGTCCATAAATTACCTCATTCTTACTGCCATAAGAGCAGCATCCCTTCTATCATGCCACAGAGAGTGAAGTAAAAAGAATGCTGCTGAAACTAGCTCAGCAGGAATGTAGTGACCTGCCTATAAACGGACGGAAAATTGTTTCTGGATGAGAAGTACATTTGCCTCAAACAAACAAAGTAAAACTGAAAGTTGTCGTCACGATAACAAAGTAGAAGCCCGACTTTAGTAAACAGAATTAAAAAAAATAAGTCAGGCAAGGACTTTTGATAGTCGTCGTGTATACGAATTTTATTCTCCATCGTTGGTAAACTTTGCTCACTGGTGAGAGAAATTGTCAACCTGAAGAAATATATTAGCACTGGGTCGTTAGTAGGCATTTAATGGTCTATATATTACAAAAACATTCATGAGATACTCAAATCAGAAAAGATTTTAAAAAACATAACTGCTCCTGATCATTTAAGAGACAACACTATTCGTAATGACACTTTTACCTGTTTCTCAGGGTCTATAATATCTAAAACTGCATGAAGACAGCTATTCTGTCCAATGACAAATTCCTGAAAAGAAAATTATCGTTTCATCAACATCAAATTGTTGATAATTCATCACTTGACTGATTGAAACGCATCATGACTGCAATCCCTCTGGGGACCTGATAGGAGGTAAGTCATTTACCCACCAGGGATGTCACGGAAATATTCTTTGAGGCCGAGAGCCATAACCACTGTATAATAAGCTGTAAAACAACCACGATCAGTGGTTTTGATAAAACTCAGCCATCTACATGAAGATTAACTTGCAACGGTGAGTAACGGTACACGATTAATAATATGACAAGCATTTGTCCTAAAACATATTCAGCCGTCAGAGACACGAATTCACTTTAGTAGAGCACATGAAGAAGTGTACGCCTCTGGTTTTATGTTTTTTTTGTTTGTTTGTTTGTTTGCGATACATGGACAGACCGGTCCAGTTCAGCTTTAAAGCTGGTTTAAATGGGAACCTGTATAAACAATAACAAGGCTAGACCACAACACCGGGGTTACGCTCCCTTCTTTTTGCGAGAGGTGCACGGGTTCTTTAAGGTCCCCTGCTAAGCAGTGCAAAGTCTAATCATTACAGTACAAAGTCTAATCATTTGTGGATGTCAAAGCAAAGGCACCACATTTTCCTCAGTTATTTTATGACCCAGATTGTTTTTCTGATCTAGGAGTTCAGCCCTCGACCTCCTGCAAGGCAGTAATGAACTACCAGTCACAAATTGGGATTTTATAAAGAAAAACGACTCTTTCAATGGTTCCCTGAGCAACGGTAAGAAATAAGCCCTGTATTGCATGGTAGGTTAGGACGACAACTTAATTCCTTGTAATGGTCACGGAATATTTTGTTGAAAATGAAATTATCATTGTACCTTGTCATCTTTATTCGTCAAATCAAGAAAGAGCTCAATCAGTCCAGGTTGTGTTTCAACAGCTGTTGCTATAAACTCCAGTATAACTGCTTTGAGTTTGATATCCTGCAAATAAATCATTTAAAGCAAATTAGATAATAATAATTATTATTCTCACTTTGAAGGGAAAAAGAAGACTCCCATAGCTTACAGCTTAAGTGAACTAGATCAGTACCTGAAACTCCCCTAACACACATTTTAACAAATAGCCCCACGCGCCAACTTGTTCTTTGTGAAACTGTCGATAGACCATTGACTTCGAAATCGCCTTTTGCTAGTCGTTACAAGAGGAGAAATATCTTGTTTTCCATGCACTTAAGCGTGGATGGTACCTGTTAGCTAACAAGAGAGTGTTAAGAGTCATAACGTGTTGTTCAGTACCTCAGTAAGAGTCCTTAATCTTGACACAAAAGCGTCTCTCAGAGAAACAGCCTCAGCACCAAAACTTGCATGCATTGACATAGGAGCCACCTTAAAAAGGAAAAATAAAATAAAATGAAAAGCCCAGAAGTCACCTTGAGCCTTCAATGAAAGACTGAGTAACTAAATGTTAGCTACATTTAAGTGAACAATAGTACACCTTACAAAAAAGTAACCTGTGCTTAAGGATATCATGCTGGATAAATGTTCAGCAGACAATCAGAACTGTAGAGCAGGGACTTAATTCCCAGTTCAGTTGAAAAATGTTTCAGTGATCCTTAAAGTTGGCAATGCAAAAGAAAAATGTGTCCCCTCTGGGGACCTGAAGGGAGCAAGAAATCCACCCTCCAGGGATATAACGGGGAGTTTTTTATTTAGGCTGAGAGCCATGACCACTCTACAATAAGCTATAGGTGGCTTTGGTAAAATCCAGCCACTCATTAAGTGACTCTCAAATGTAAGTTACACAAAAAGAAATTGTACGTCAATTAAAGATATCCTCTTACATGTACACTATACCTAACGCTGAGATACATGTACACCTTAGATTAAGCTGAATGAGCGATGCGAACCCAAAGACCTTCATAGTACTCTGCCAGTAAAAGGTTCCATTTTTTGTGGTACCCTTCACACCCAACATGGGCATACCGTAATTTCCGTTCATTTACCCGCGCGGCAGATTACCCGCATCGGTCAATTTTTGCAATAACGACAAAAAAAATTTCAACAGATTACCCGCACAGGCAGATAACCCGCACCCAAAAACAAAAGAAAATCGTCGACTCGCACAAAGTTTCTTCATTGTTTTTGTTGACATGATATCCTTTAGCGTGCAATTAATAAATTTTCACACTTTTTGTCTTCGCTGTTTCATTGAGAATGATACTACTTGTAAAAATCCGTTCTAAAAAAAAAGAAGGGACAAGAGAAACTTGATGACATGAGAGGCTGCACCAGGACCATGGTTCACCCTTTTTAAACCCACTATCATGAACCCCAAAGATCACAATTCTGATCTTTTTCTCACAAGAAATAGTGGGAAAAGGAAGAGAGATTGGAGAAGGAGAAAGAGCAGAAGAGACTTAATGACAGCCAAAAAAATGGGAGGTCACACCTTAAAAAAAATTCCATAAGGAGACACACCTAGAGAATTATTTGTTAATCACTAACAACCCAACAAAAGGGAGACATACCAAGCATATTCTCTTCAGCAAGAGTGTTGCCAGGGTTGGTAGCTGACAGTCCAGTCTGTGATGTATATATGACGCTATGACAGTCACGAGTTGGTTATTACCTGAATGGAATAAAAACACTTGATTATCCTAACCACAGCTCGAGTAGTACCGGTATATTTTCTTTTCTTTTTATAAGAAAAAGTGTTGGATAGTAATACTCAGCCCCAACGTGGCCAAACTTTGCACGTGATTATCTTGGCCAGACTGAGGGAGAGAGATTTCACCTCCCAAAGCTCACGTACTTTAATAGTATGTCTTCTTTTCTCTCAACAATAGTTTTCCAATGAAAGGCAATTTACCTATCAGATATCATTACCCAGCCTTTGTAAAGAAGAGGTTGTTTTGTTAGTTTTTTTCTTTTATTTAAGGGGGGGGTGGTTTGCTTGTTTTCCAAATGAAGCTACAAGAAGCATACTTCACTTCCTCAGTGGAATGCTATCTGCATTTCAAACCTCCCCCCCCCAACCATTTGATAATTTCCACTACAAAACAAGTCCCAGGTATCAAATCATACTTCATAGCGCAATACAGTGCACCCAGCAATGGTTCTGATCCTGCCTAACACATAAAGTACTGCTTACTAAAAAATCACTCTCTGCATTTTCCACTGGGAAGACAAATCTACCAATTTTTGTTAAATAATACCAAGCTAAACACGCATGTAAACTATCATCAGTGTCCAAACAGAAGGTAATCATAATTGTGATAAAAGAAGACAACCAAAATCCTTAATTCCCCAAACATATGATGTATCCCCTCTGGGGACCTGATAGGAGGTATATTGTCTACCCACCAGGGATATGACAGGGAGTTTCCTTTAGGCTGAGAGCCATAACCACTCTACAATGAGCTGCAGGCAGTTTTGGTAAAATTCAGCCATATCAAATTACATGTTATCACACATACATGAAATAATAAGAAGAAGGAAATGGAAAATAATAGAGAAACAAAAGGAAGTACAACATGTAAAATCTAATATATAGATTTAGCCAAGCCTAAAAGCGGAGCTCGCTTTTTTTTCCCGCACGTCTTAAGGGCATAACGCCTTGCCCCGGCCAGGACTAGAACCCGGGTCGTCCGACTCGGAGCTCAGTGCACTGACCACTACACTACTGGACAAAGCCGCGGCGTTGGTGTGACCGCGGTACAGTTGACCACGCATGTTAAAAGTAGCATCTTGTACGGTCGGTCGTATGGTCGTAAGGTCGTAAGTCCAAATTTTTTCGGTTTGATGGGTTACTACTATTTTGTATAATTATGGGGCTACGCTTTGCGAGCTCTGCTATGACTAACGACAACTGCATTAATCAATAACAGTTTATCATCTCACGCCCTTTGGCCTCTTTTGCAGACAGTAAGTGAAACTTGGCAAGGCAATTCACCAGCCCAGCTCAGATCACCATACTGTTGATATCAACACTTGCCCCAGCTTGTGGAAGAACTTGCTCCTTTATCCCTCAGTTGATGAATCACTTGTGTTGTCAGTGCTTCTTCCAGAGGAGAGATGTTATCATCCTTATAAAAAATCGGAGACATGCATAATTATCGAGCTAACAAAATTTGTATGTTGATGCTCTTAAAATTTCTGCAATGCATCAGTCAATTCGTCAGTATATTCTTAAGTATTCCACAGTCCAAAATGGAAATATCAACAAAAATTCCATGTCTCCCCTCTGGGGACCTGATAGGAGGCAAGTTAACTACCCATCAGGGATATAACAGGGAGTTTTCTTTCAGGCTGAAAGCTATGACCACACTACAATAAGCTGTAGGTGGCTTTGGTAAATTCAGCCACATAGAGGTCACCAACCACACTTATTCCAAATAATTACATCAAACCATAATGACATGATGTATTGACAATGTCAACTCTCAGCCAATTCCTGCCCAAATACATGTAATCCTGTGATAACAGCTATCAAAATCATATCTCCTTGGCCTACAGCCTCTTGAACTGCTGTAAGAAAGTAATCAGCAAAATTGGTGGACATTTTAGTAGCATAATTCTAAATAAACAAACCTTTTCTTTTCTAGCCAAGAGTCTGTTCAGCACAGAAAATGCCAACTTGATAAGTTCAACAAGGGCTATGGCATATCCACCTGTAGAACTACTGACAGAATAAACACAAGCCAGATTACAGTCAAACATGTGCAGCCAGCGGTTCAGAAGGCTTTCTACATGTATGCTTGAGTATGCTAAAAATGCCTTACAGGAGTTGCTTAAAAACATTTTCATCTGCTTTTATAATATGAAAAACTACAATAACAATAAGATATTAGTTGGAAAAAGAGGCAATAACAAAGAAATTGATGGATAATATTAAAAACTATAAAGTGCACAGGCAATGAGAGAGTCCTTTTAATAATTGTATTAATTTTTATTAGTCTTAATATTCAACACCCTGTACAGCATGTGTAGATTAACCATTTAAACCCTAAGAGTTACCAGCTTCTAATTTTTTCCTAACAATTACACTGATGAGTCATTCAATGAGATCATGATAATATACAGGAAATGATCACCAACCAACACTCTAAGAAGCTTTCAGGTAACATGGAATATGGATATTGATGTTGCAGTATATGGGATTATACTTTGTTAACTTTGTAACCCTTGTCTAACAATTTATTTTAGTATTCAGGCTTCATGCACAAAACAATCTTATTTTGCTCATTCAAGAGTTTTAACATGTGACCCATATGTACAGGTGTACAATACACAAGGTTTTTTTGATACCCTAATTCTTGACAACATTTCACAAATTTTCGAAGCAGATCCTCATTTTAGGAATATCAAAAGATTATTTTTAATGAAGACCATACAATTATTAGTACAACATGTACCTTCCCACAGACACAAGTTTATCAACAGTATCCACCCCTGTGCCAAGAATGTTGAGTAGTGACTGTCCAGCTTCTGAGTACAACAAACCAAGAACTAAGGTGTCCTGTAAAACTGATGGAGTCCTTCAAGAGAGAATATAACATCCATTAATTGGTACTTTACCAGAAAACTTCAGTTGAAATGAAATAGAATAATCTTACTCTGCTGTTGGAATGAATCCAGATCTCAAGTAAGTGGGATCTTATTTACTTTAGAAAGTTCAATGATAAAAAGTTATGACTGCTTTGTTACAAACTATAAAATGTGCTCTGCTCTCCTTTGTGGTACCTCCCACAGTGCAGAAAGCCTGATTAATGCTGTAGAGGAATCACAGCCAGATGTATCACTGGTTATCCAAATTCTACATGTATGTGTCTTGTGAGGAAGCATGCGTATGGAAAATTGCTAGAGCATAAGGTTCCAATATTATCCGATAACAGTCCAAAGAATGGTCCTCATTGCTCATAACATGTACAGTTATAGCTACAAAGCTAAAGGGTAGAAATAAAGTTGCACACTGACCATGGCAAATCTGTGACTTCAGCTTCCATTGCATCACTGGCTTGATCAGCCATTTTTTTTGTGAAGTGAAGGCCAAGAACAACATTGAACAACTGAAGACATCTCTTCCCTTTGTACAAACCAAAACAAAATTCATTCATATTTTATTTGGCTCTGATGTGTGGAATTTATTACACCCATTCCCCCAAAAGATTGCTTTAAAACTTAAGAGCATTGATTCATGTAAATTTAAAATCAGCTACATAGCAGAGAAAGCCAAAGAAAACTTTTGAACACTAGATAACATGTACAAGTCTATAGCTTTATAGAATTATTTCATGGTTCTTCAACCCTGGAAAAAGAGCCATTACTTGTTTATACAAGTCTCTCTGAATTGGCTATAAAGTAAATGTTTTCTATAGAAGGACACCAATCCTTTGTGCAAACTTACCAATTTCTTCTCTGTCCCTCAGGCTACCAAATCTCCATTTGTAAAATCCTGTGAACACCTCTCTCATTATGAAAACTAGACAGGCAGCAAGCTCGACAATACTAATTGCCTGATTTCCAGTTTCCTCAGCATTACTCATTCCATGAATCAGCTTCAAAAGAAAATTCAATGTTGCCATGGTGACAGGGTAATAACCAATCGGCCTCTCTTTAGTGCTTAAAATTGCACCAAAGTTTCCTGGTGCTGTGCCAAGGAACCTGAACAAGATACAAAGGTGCTTTCATTCAAAGAGTTGAACATTGAAGGATAACAAACTATTATCATTTTTGTGAAAGATGATGTATTTAGTCAATGACACAGGCATACTCAAAGAAAAAGAACTTCAACTCCTCCCAATGGGGTTGAACCTACAACTTTCCACTTAGAACTTGGGATGCTCTACCACTGTGTTATAGGAGATTTGTGGCAGGCTGTGCTGTTTAACCCTGTAAGTCCTGTGAATGACCAAGACAAAATTTCTCCTTACTATATCTAGTATACAATATCATGAAGGCAAGTGATGAGAATTAAGAAAAATACTACTTGATCTGATACCATATTCTCCAAACTCACATACTGAGAATTGTTTGGCAGACCAGTAAGAAGAATTACTAAATTAAATTAGATCTTGGGAGTTAACCCTTTGACTCCCAGATCAAATTTGTCATTCTTCTTACTCTCAACCAAATCATAATGATTCTTATAATGTTAGTTTAGAGAATTTAGTATTGGAACATCTAATTATCTCCAAATTGATATGTTTCTTTATTCTCATCACTCATCTGGTTGATATTGAATTGATATTGTAAGGAGAAATTCTGTTTTGATCACTCATGAGAGTTAAAGGGTTAATCAAATACACATGTATCACTCATAAGCAGAGAAATTAGAAATATATCAAGAAACCAAGCGATTTCTATTTCTGCCACCAAAATAGTATTCATCAAAGTTTGCAGCTCACAATAGTTTGAGATTCTAAAGAAAAGGACACAGTTTTAATTAAATATGCTTAAAATATGCTAAAACTTAGACGACAACATTTAGAATATAGATAACCTGACAGCACATGCAAAACTGTAACACACAGGTTGAAAGACTTAAAGCTACAGATTGCTCTTTTTTTTTTTTTTTATCTCAGACTACTCACTCCACTTTGGTTTTGTCTGACTTCGACATTTTGACTGAAGTGTAATGAGGAAGGAACCCTGTCTGTTGAAGATGATGCCACACCTATGTACACAGCAGAAATGAAGAACACAATTTTAATAAAAGTTTTATGTATGTGACAAAGATCATGTTGTATGTTATTGTATGTTAACTTTATGCAGGGTTATTACCAAATGCCAACTGCTGACAGAATTCCCCTCTTGTAAAAGCAGCGATCACTCAGTAAAGCAAACTGCCACCTATCAGGTTAGGCATTAACAGCTGTTCGCCATCTTTGAGCTATCACACCGGAAATTTTAACAAGCAGCCTAATTCTTTAGCTAGAACCCTGTTAATGGTTAGTGTGCTAGACTCAAGATAGAGCCATCACCTGTTTAAAAACCCAGTAGAATCACTGTCCTAAGTGGCCTGATAAGACACACTTCACAAACGGGTTCTTCTCTCCACCAGACTGCTGGGAAACCAAATCAAAACTTGGGTGGTTTGTCATATCGGGCTCAAAAGTATCAAGTGCCCATCAAAGAGGGTGTACAGCACGAGTGCCAAAAAAACATTGATGAGAAAAGCGAACATACTCTCAATTTAATGGGTAACCATGACAACAACAAAATACCATGTCAAAAGCACCTTTAAAGGCAGCTTTTTGTAAAAGGAAAAAATTGTCTGTTACCTGTTCTGGATCTCTCAAAGCAACAGTAGCTAAGCATGTCAAACATGTGGCAATCAAATCTTGGGGAGGGTTTGGTGATGGTGTACACCTAAAATGAGATTGAACATGGTCAAGGAGATGGCAAAAATCATCACAATGTGTTTGGGTTGCTATTCTGTGGGTAAAGTCCTCCAATTCTTTATCAATTGATGGCCACTTCAGCCAAAAAATCATGTACTTCATCACTTAAGTCTTTTGTTTTTCTGACAACCTTACAGAGCATTGCACACTGCAGCCTCTTGAAAAAGTTATGGAGAAAGACAAAATTTATTGGGAAAATGAAATGGAAACACATATCACAGTAAGGGGTAACCCACAGTCAAAACAACAAATTTCAAGCCAAAGGGCGATAGGTTTTGGTCTGGATACAAAAAGTCTATACTGGAGCCAAGTGACCCATTCAACCAGAGCTTATTCTAGTTTCCATGGAATGAAGTGACTAAGAGTATCACTACTCCTCCCTGGATGGGATGGCAGTCCATCACAAGGTTACTCCCAGCATTTCATAAGGCTTCCCTCACAACTATTCACCAGAAAGTATTTACACTCTTAGTTGGAGAAAGGCACCTCTACAGTAGATATGTTGCTAACTATATGGCCAGATTTATATCATAGTTAGGTTGTGTTACCTCTGAATAATCAGATACAGACGGGAAGAGAGAGGCTGGAGATGAACAGCCTTGCCCCAGTCATTGAGTAGGACCTCGTTGACTAACTCCACAATACAAATGACATTTTGACAATCCACAGCTAAATTCAAAATAATGAAAAAAACAAACTCGTTTACCATAACCAGTCATTTCACATGACACATATAAAAAAAATATTGCAATACAAAATTCAGACTAAAGGTCAGAGTAGAACACATGATTGCAATGCATAGAAGTGCTCACCTGCTCCAGATCCCACAGATTCAAGGAATGAATC